CTCCCCTAAACCCCAAAGCCTAAACCCTGAGCTGCATCGGTCAATTTTGATCTCCGAAACCCAGGCTCGGGTATCACACGACCAGCCCTATAATCTCACCAAACTGCCAACAGCCTACTACTTACTGAGCCTATGGCAGAACTTTCATTTTTTTGGCCTTATATATTTGGTTTTTTGGTCTATGATACAAAGTTTTTCACCTTTTTACGGCCTTAAACCCTCCAGAAGAGACACGAAGAATGCCACAACATCCCAAAGCTTCCTAGCGCTGCACCCCCTCCTGAGGCGATGTCTCTCCCGACCGCCTCGGGCCTGCTCGGAAGGCTCGGCGAATCTCCACCGCAGGCGCGGCACTTTTTTGGTAGGGTTTCGGGTTAAGTTTCGGGTCTGGATCGGAAGGATACTTTATGATGTTTTGGCTGCACAAGCTTCCCTTCAGAAGGCTTTTTCAGCTTTTCTTCTTCGTCTTTTTGTTTTTACAGTCGTGGGGCTTACTTGGCCTTGTTCGGTTTTGATGGTTTTAACGACTTCTTTGGTCCCGGAATGGAGGGCTCTAAGGCTCAAGAGAGTGGAAGGTGTTTGTACTGTAGTTTCTGGGCTTCAAGGAACAGTGTTGAGGGTTGGGTTTTAGGGTTTGTGCCTCAGTCAAGTCGGAGAGCGCGCGGCAGGAGATGTGGCGGCGGTGACTGTGCTTTTCTTCGGAGGCCTGGAAATGCCAGCAGATTTAGGCGATTAAGGGCTCCGGAGGTGTTTCATACGGGTTTCGTGGATTCCAGGGTTTAGTGAAGACAAGGGTTGAGGGTGCAAGGTTTACGTAATATGAATGAAGACTTTGAAGAAGTAGGAAGGCTTCCGAATTGGTAATGCGTGGTGACCTTCTGGGACAAATTGACAATTTGATTGCACTCCTGCTTCCGCTTAAAATTCGTTCTGCGACAGATGAAGCTATGTACAGAGTAGTACAGCATCTGCTCTTGTTGAAGTTGAGGGCGAGGGCAAGCCAATGGCCTCATAAAGTAGGGCCGCTAGAACCTATAGTCTCTATTGCAGTTCCTTCTTTGGCTTACTTCACAAGATCCAAAATATACTAACGGTTAAACCAAAAAACGAGCTACAATGGATTACATCACAGGCAACTCCTTTATCCGAGCCACGGCCGGAACGAGATGAACCGGAACTAATCCAACCGTATACCCCAAGGAAGCTTGCTCACCTTCCGGGGAGTGCAGAATTAAGGATGGTCACAGTCAGGAAGCCGAAACATTCAGGTTTTCAGAGCTCCAGATAAGCTGACATTCTCTTTCTGGTGGTCAAAAACCCATGCATCGTCACGAGGCATCATTGGCGTCGTTTGCCTGCCCGTCCTGGCCGTGGCGCATGCGGTGCAACGTGAGGGGCCCGGGTTTTGAGTTGTCCTGAAGCCTAAAAAATCTGAAGACTCT